ATAGTTTGTACCATATGGTTGGTTTCTATTTGAACCAACCCCTATATATATATATATAGGGGCCCATTTTCAAGAGAGAACTGATTAGTTTGTGGTAACTGTGAGATCCAATCTCAACCACAAATCAACAGATAAATTAGGAAATTAATAATTATAGTAGTTTGAGTTAAAATTATAATTAGAGGGCATTTTAGGTATTTTTAATAAACTCCTCTCTCCTCTCTCATCTATCCGACCTCCAATCTCCGGCCTCCGGTGAACAAAAATCCGGCAGGTACCAAGTAGTCACAAAGATACACAATGTGATACACATTATGGTATAATGTGATACACATTATGGTATAATGTGATACCCATTGTGATATATTGTGATACCATTTGAGTACCACTGTATATCACAATGGGCATCATATTGTGTATCTTTGTGATTACTTGGTATCTACCGGATTTTTGTTCACCGGAGGCCGCAGATTGGAGGTCGGAGAGATGAGAGAGGAGAGAGAAGAGAAGAGAGGAGTTTTTTAAAAATACCTAAAATGCCCTCTAATTATAATTTTAACTTAAACTACCATAATTATTAATTTCCTAATTTATYCGTTGATTTGTSGTTGAGATTGGATCTCACAGTTACCACAAACTAATCAGTTCTCATTTGATTAAGCCCATATATATATAAAGAGAGAGAGAGAGAGAGAGAAAGTAGAACTCATATATTGAGAATAGAAGTGTATATACAACGGTGAGGACTTTATATAGTGAAAGGGTTGAGCCAAGACATAATGACAATATGGGAGTTACATTGACTATTAACTAGTACATAAAGTCCCTCATAATGGTGTTAAATATGACACTCAATACCCATAAATTATGAGTTACAACGATATGAGTATATGTACATGATTTTTATTGATTTATTTACATGATTTATTTGTTTGTGTTTGAGTTTTTATATTAGTCTTTACCAAAAATCCAGGACATTCTCTAGGAATCAACCAAAAACCCGAAATATTCTCTTGAAATCAATAAAGAAGAACCCGGAAAATTCTCTCGAATCAACCAAAAAACCTAAAAAATTCCTTCGAAATAAACCAAAGAACTTTTAAAAAATCTCTCGAAATCAATCAAAAAACTTAAGAAAATCTCTCGGAGTCAACCGAAAAACTTAAAAAATCCTCCAAAGGTAGAATTCGGCTAAAAACATATTTAGCGGCTTTGCGGGCATTTGATCCAATCTAAAAGAACATCTGCTCAGCAAAAATCTTGGATCCACCACTGGTTGTTTGTAGTGGATAACACAATAGGCAGTAAGGATCTGAGAGGGGCAATCAAAAAACCCTCCACTTCAATTGGTATTGGCTTGAATTTTTTTCTGGCGATAGCAGCAAGCCGACAAAAAATTCTTACCCATGGATTGAACTTCTCCACTGCAAATAAAATTAACAAAAGAATAATAACTACAAACCATATATTGTAATCAAAACTAAATTAAGGAGCCGTTTACTAAACACTTACTTGGTAAGTACTTACCGGATAAATTTCCTCATCAGAGGAACATGAGAAGGGTCAAAAATCTTACATGGAGAGTCTTACCCGGTAAGTGAGGATGACGACTCTTACCCAGGTAAGCGCTTACCCACTAAATTGTTGCATTCGATATGTTTTGATATTACTAAAATCTTACGCATCAAAATAAATCATAGTGTTGACTCTTATCGGTAAGCGCTTACCAGGTAAGCAATTGGATAAACGGCCCCTAAATACAACTATATTATAAATGAAATTACAACCAAGGAAACATAACGAAAAATTCGCTAAAGGAAAATACAATAAAAGTAAACCAAGGGAAATGTGGAAGAAGAAGTGTTACACAACCATCCTCTAAACCCTTTCCACCTTCAAATGTTGGTAAATATTGTTAGTCTTAATCATCGTAATTGATAAATAACACAAATATATCCGATCCGATCCAATCTTTATAAGATTCCTGTGCTTAACCGTGTATTAGTTATATCCAACGTGTAGCATTACTTTTGTAACACCCCCTGTTCTAGCGGTGTCACATTTATGATCCGGAGTGTAAAACCATAGTAAACAATATAATATAAAAAAATGATTAGGATATCGAGCAACTAAAATAAACCCAACACATAATAATTACATCCATCAAAACATGAACAACCGATGGTTATAAACTTTAAATTTACATAACTAACCATAAGGGTGGTGTTCGATTGGTTTGAGCTTGGACTCCAAATGTCAAAAGTGTCTGGAGGTCCACGGTTCAAATCCAGAGCGAAATAAAAATTTCCTTGTGGCCACGGAGGTTCAATGCGGTGACTCTGGGCTACCCGCGTGGTTGCCCTGAGATTAGTCGGCTCGCATAGCGGGTTGGATATCCAAGTTAATAAAAAAAAATTACAATAGCAAAAGATTTTACAAAATAAGGATTGATGTCTTCCGTTGATACAACGGATCATGACTCGTATCACTTTCCTGACCCACCTCGAGTCTTCTCACCTGTATCCTTCGTGTCATAAAAACAAAAGTCGTCTGAGTTATGGCTCAGTGGACGGATTTTACCATATAAACCAAAACATATGAAAACAACATAATAAGATGAGATATCAAAATGGAAATCGTCAAATAATATTTGGATCAACAAATTATTTCAAATTGAAAATCGAATAACAATGTCATGTCTTAAAAGTCTTTGTGCATCACAATCTTCCAAAAATCAACTCGTTTCTAGTTATAATTCATGACTCGAGATATACTACCAGAATACTCCAGTTCATATCACCCAAGAAGGTTATTACACGGACCACCTTTGTGTGTTGCAATCTCCCAAGAGATGATCAGTCTACTTGGGCTCTGGGAAAGGTATGTGGGCACGTCATAACTCAAACCCCTTCACTACACACCGCGAACATGGCAATATCCTAGTATCGATTTATCCGCCCTCCACCTATGCCTAGGCTAAGCTCATTCCTCGAGCATTCAATCACGCAGACCGTATGATGCTTCCAACTACCATAGAAACTTCATAGCAGTTGATGCCCCAACTATTATGTCTTATAAGACTCAAATTCAAATCAGAAATCAACGACTCAATAAAAGTTATCGTGGTTTCACACTTCATTGTTCTTAACATCAATCGATGATATCAAATATATATAACAGAATCAAGACCATAACAAAGTCCGAAACTTGATTCAAAGATCTCCATTGTCATCTGAAAGCATTTCTTGGAAGCAAGATAATAACAAAGTTTCAGTGATAAGAAAAGGATTAACTCACCCTTTTGGATGAGTCTCGAAAAATCATATCACGGATGGGAAGTCCATATGCAAATGGGCATCCCTCGTCCAAAGGATAAGAAATCAGTACCTTTGTGAGCCAAGAACACAATATAAGCGACCCTTGATTGAGTCCGAACCACCTACACGGATATCCTATATAATAAACACATTCCAAAATTAAATTTCTATCATATATATATATATATATATATATATATATATACATGTATTAAGGACTATTTTACCCCTGGTTATGTCCTTGATAGGTTTTATAAACCTATAAGAAAACATTTATATCGACCAAAATCTTAAAACTCTTTAAAAATCACATTATCTTCATGCATTTGTCTTGTTTTTTGTTCAAACCAATTTGTTTGCGTCTGGATCGATTTTAAAATGCCCTGAATTTAATTGTTTAACGCTCTATCAAGTTTTGGTTCATATTGTTCTCGAGTTGAAGGTTGATGTCACAATATTTTCTTTAAGTAAACTAGTGTTTGACACCATGCGTTGCATGGTGACAATAATATTTTTTAAAATTACTGAAGTTAGCTAAATGAATCGATGATTATATTTATATATCAAATTAATAAGAATCAATATTACCTTTGATATATGCATGAATCCACCTTATCATTATTGGTTGTTCTTTTAATATATATATATATATATAGAGAGAGAGAGAGAGAGAAGCGATCAAATGAAAACCACTCCAATTTGTAAAAACCGTAAAAACTACTCTCATTCATCGATTTCATTGTTTAATCTTATGAAATTTTTTCATGAAATTGTTTCATATAATACTTTTTTTATGAAGTTGTTTCATATATGGTTATGAAATTGTTTTATATATTACTTAATGAAATTTTAATGAAATTGTTTCATGTATTTTTCTAAAATTAAAATAATGAAGATGCTAATATCCATGATTAACAACCTCCACAATAAAAATGATTAATCAATCTCTCTTAATTACAAAAAAATGAACAAAATGAAAAATTATGATTGGTGGAATAAGGTTTTTACGGTTTTTACAAATTGAGTGGTTTTTATTTGATTGTTCCCCATATATATATATATATATATATATATATATAT